CCATGGAGATAAAATGAAGCTCAAAGCCGGCTGAGTTGTACTGAGGCCCTGACCTGATGGCAGTTGTTAGTTAGAGCATAGACAAAAACATTAAGATTCGGGCTGGGGATGTGGCTCAAGCGGTAACGCGCTCGCCTGGCATGCGTGCGGCCCGGGTTCGATCCTCAGCACCACATACAAACAAAGATGTTGTGTCTGCCAATAACTAAAAAATAAAAATATTAAAAAAAAAAAAAAAACATTAAGATTCAATGCTGCTGACTAAGCACATCATGCTGTAACTGTTGTAAGCCTTCTAAAAGAAGAATATGCTAACTGCTTTTCAGATACAATACCTCCCTTATAAAAATCTTTTCAAAGACAGGCATGGTCATGCATACCTGTAGTCCCAGCAACTCAAGAGGCTGAGGCAGGAAGATTGTAAGTTTTAGGCTAGCCTGGGCAACTTAATGAGACCCTCTCTCAAAATGAAAAATAAAATCCAAAATGTAGTGATTTTTCTGCCAAAAGTGGATATACGTTAAGGAGCAGGTTCTGGTTTAGTTTATCAGAAGAAAATTTTTGAGCTGTGAGAATTGAACAGGGTGTACTAGGAGCTATGGAATTCACCATGCTGGCTGGGTTTGGACAGACTTGAGCAAGCTCCTGACAAGTCTGTTGCTGAGGAATTCAGTTTTTGAGGGGGTGGGCTTAACCTTTTAAACTTCTTATACCTAAGAATCTCAGGTGCAGTGAAAATGAGAATTTTTATTTTACTGCATCTCATTCCACATTTTTTAACTGAATATCTTCTAAAGGCCTAGAAAGGAGCATAAACAGACCTCCAGTGTGAAATCTTAATTTATAAGTGAACATGAGAGACTGAGCTAGAGTGGTAAAGCCAAGGCTGGAACTTAGGCCTCCTGATTCTAATGTGATTTTAAAAAAAAAAAATTATAGTATTAGATGGACAGTATGCATTTAATTTATTTATTTATTTAATGTGGCGCTAAAGATGGAACCCAGTGTGTCACACATGCTAGGCAAGTGCTCTGCCACTGAGCCCCAGCCCCAGCCTCTCTAATGTGGATTTTTGTAACAGAAGTCTACTGTTTCTAGTAAGTAGTCTAGCTCATCCAGCAGTCAGAGCACTGGATTCCACTGGACTCCATCCTCATCCCTTACACGAGCGGACATCATATCTTTTAGATTCTGCTTGCTTAAATGTTTCTGGACTCAAACCTCTTCTCTCTCTTTTTTCTCCAGTACTGGGGATTAAACACAGGGCCATTCTATCACTGAGCTACAACCTCAGGCCTGGTTATTTTTTATTTTGAGATAGACCCTCATTAAATTGCTCAGGCTGGCCTTGAACTTGTGATCCTCCTGCCTCAGCCTCCCAAGTTGATGGGATTATAGGTGTGTGCCACTGTGCCTGGCTCAGTCTTCATCTCATTATAAAATCACTGTTGCTATCCTGATGCAGCCACCATCATTTCTCAACTATGACATTGGCCTTCCAATGGTCTTCTTGCTTCAATCTTGCTCACTTCAGTCTATCTTTCACATAGCTATCAGAGTAAAAAAAAAAAAAAAAAGAGTTTTCTTTTTTTGTGGTGCTAGGGATTGAACCCAGGGCCTTGTGCATGCGAGGCAAGCACTTTACCAACTGAGCTATATTCCCATCCCCAGAGTAAAATTTTTTAAAGCCCTGATCTGATCACACCATTATCCTGCTTAAGTCCCTTTAAGTATGTCTCTACTGGTCCCAGGATAAAATCTAAGGCTGTCCATGCCTCTCTGCTTGTCTCCAGACTCATACACCCTGTCCCAGACTTTCTCTGTACCCCTCTAGGTGAACAGGTACCTACAGCGGTTCCCAAAGCTCCCCATGGTCTCACTCCCTTTTAGACCTTTAGATCTACTGAAACTTGGAATGTGCTCTTCAGTTGGTCACCTCTAGTTCCTTTCCTCCAATTTCTCAGGACTGGGCCTCATTGTAGAACATATCTGACTTCTGTTGTCTCTTTGTTCTCACAGCCTCCTATACATTGTTCAAGCCAGGTATTTGTCATTATGTTGCAGGTTCACAAATGCAAACTCCTAAAGAAGGTGGACAGGAAAAGTAAAGGAATCCAGCGATCTAGAGGAAGATCTTGGCAACTGAAAATCAGAGAAGACATTCTCTGTCAGAAGCAGGCAGTTGTTGTTCCATCATACTCAATATTTATTTATTGGTATTGGGGATTGAGCTCAGGGGCACTTTATCATTGAGCTACACATCCCCAACCTTTTTTATTTTGAGACAGGGTCTCACTAAAGTTGCTGAGGGTCTCACTAAATTGCTGAGGCTGGCTTTGAACATGCAATCCTCCTGCCTCAGCCTCCTGAGTCACTGGGATTACAGGTATGCACCACCATGCCTACCTCCACTCAATGTTAATCTGTAAATGTGGGCCTAGTGGTACTACATCTTTCAGTTTTTCCAGAAAAGCCACCCTGCATTTTTAAAAAATATCTTAGTTGTTGATGGACACAAGATCTTTATTTTTTTAATATTTATTTTTTAGTTTTAAGTGGGCAAATATCTTTATTTTACATTTATGTGGTGCTAAGGATCGAACTTAGTGCCTCAAGCATGCCAGGTGAGCACTCCACCACAACCTCAGCCCCAAGATCTTTGTTTTATTTTATGTGGTGCTGGGGTTCCAACCCTGGGTCTCACACATGAGAGGCAAGCGCTCTACCACCGAAGGACAACCCCAGCCCACCACCCTGCATTTTTGTGTAAAAATAATTTAAAAATCTTGTAACTAAATGTTAAAATTATTGAGACACAGCATGTCTCCAGGCAAATTTATGCCAGTTTGCACCTTCTATGTCATCACTGTATATTTACATATCTCTTTCTTCCAACTAATCTGTGAATACCTAGATAATAAGAATGTTTGAGGGGCTGGGGTTGTGGCTCAGCGGTAGAGCACTCACCTAGCATGTGCAAGGCCCTGCTCGATCCTCAGCACCACATAAAAATAAATAAATAAAAACAAAGGTATTAAAAAATAATAATTTCCATTAAAAAAAAAGGATGTTTGAGTTGTTGGATCCCTAGCACAACTCCTGGCACACACCAGGCAAGGAAAGAATGAATGAGCATGTGAATCCAGAGCAAACGTAGTACCGTGGCATGCCTATAGAAACAAGCCCTGAAATTCAGATTTCTGAAAGATCTTTATATTTGGCTTTCACATGATTGAATTGAACAAAGATACACACACTGCACTTGGTAGATTTCTTGTCTTAGAAACTACTCAGGCTGGAAGAAATTATGTGGACAGACTGAGGGCTGTGCTGCCTACAAATCGAACCAAAGGATTTAATGATTAGTACATGGGACTAAATACGGTGTCATGGGAAAAAAAGTTTCTCTCCAGGCTCTATATTTCCAGCACTGATCATATGGACCAGATTTGAAGGTATAGACTATTTTTTAGCAGGTTTTATACACAGTTTAATAACCTCACTGCCAGAAACTTGTAAGAAGTCTGTACTAATTTCTCTTTAGTGTAGAAACAACTCAGAATGATTACACCCACACCTAGCAAACATTCCTCCTAGCTGTCTCTATGAGCCAAGGGAACGGATCTAGAGAGATCCTGTCAACTGACAAATGCAGAAAGAGCTGCAGAAATGTCACTAAGCAGAACCTCTACTAGATTCTATGCTAGGCTTAAGAGGTGCTCTTGGGGACCTCTTGGGATCTCACAAATGTATGCTAGAAAGAGACAACCATGGCCCTGCCAGTTACGTGCTGGTTGAAGTTGGAAAAATACCTTCACTTTCCATTCTGATTGCCTTAGTACCTTTTCTTGCCAAGCTGCATATGTTAAGCTGCTCTCCAGTCTATGTTGGCTCTCAGTCCAATGCCTAACTGGGCCAACCAGGCAGCAGGATCAGTCTTCTTGAGTTGTTGCTTCAACAAACAACTAAGTTTGAGTGATTTTATTTAGTTATGGCTGTGATAAATACCATAATTAGTAAATATCTGGTTATAACAGCCACTGTTGATTTTCAGTGAATTAAACATGTCATTAACACTCAGCTTGTCATCTACTTGGTGATATCTTCCCTAATTTTTTTACATTCTAATAGGATAAGTCTTTCCATTGTGCCATCAGTAGACCTTGTAACTACTATTAATATTAACACACTGTATTACTATTGTCAGTTTGTTTCTGCTATAAAAAATCCTGAGGTCAAGTACTAAAAGTTATATACTCTTGTACCTCCAGGGTCCAGCAACAACTGGTTCTAAGAAAATTAGTAACAGACTCATTAAATGGGCACAAACGAATTACTGAATAAATATGAGAAGTTCCTTTGAGCTCCAACATTCTATGAATCTATAAAATAATGTTATATTAAAAACCATAAAATGAGCCAGGGACAGTGGTGAATGCCTGTAATCCCAGTAGCTCGGGAGGCTGAGACAGGAGGATCACAAGTTCAAAATCAGCCTTAGCAAAAGCAAGATGCTAAGCAACTCAGTGTGACCCCGTCTCTAAATAAAATATAAAAAGGTCTGAGGATGTGACTCAATGATAAAGCACTTCTGGGTTCAATTCTCAGTATAAAAAAAAAATTGTTTTTAAAGGGCTGGGAATGTAGCTCAGTAGTAAAATACCTCTGGATTCAGTCCCTAGTACTAAAAATATTAGTCATGTTGATGGATAAACATTCCAAAGTGTCAACTGCAATGTGATTTTAATGCATTTTCTTCAGCCTTCAAGGATAGCCTTTATTTTTGTCTGAAGTTTCTCATACTTCCAGCCTAATACTCCATTATTAAACTTCAGTAAATATCTGTCTCTTCTTATTTTTAGCAACTCCAAGGACAGGGACCTTGCCTTAATCATTCAGGTATCTACCCTAAGAGTCTGGCATAGGACTTGGTGTGAACAAATGTTCAAAAATGCATGGGGAAGGCTTGTGTGGAGAATGATCAGTGTGACAGTCACAAGCAAGATTATTTAGTGATTTATTCTCCTCTTAAGGCTACATTAGCAGGTGGAATGGAAGACACCTCCCACTCTGATGCCTTGGGCAACCAAAGCATTATACTCCTTCACTGCCTGCTCTGTCTGGAGGACCCGCACATCAATGCCTTGTTTCTTGAGGTACTCCACAGTGGATGGAGGCACCTAGGAAGAGGAAAAGAGATGAGTAAGTAGGGGGGAAAGGCCCTCCAGAGCTTCCTTTCCTGACTTAAGGCAAGTGTACTTTACAGAGTTAGACAGTAACATCTGTCACTCCTCAGTCACCCAGTATGTCACCAGTCCAACATTTGGCAGTAAGCCCTGATGAGTCAAAAGGCCTCAGAAGGGGTGAAACTCAGGTGGATGTGTGTTAACATGCGTGAAGCTCTGGGCTCAATTCTTAGCACCTTGCCCCCAAAAGGCCTCTGAGAAGTTAACAAAAGCATCCTAATAGCCATGCATAAAGCTCAAGTGAAATGGAAATGGGAAGAGCATGGATTTTGTAGTCATCCTTGGATTTAAATCCTTATAAGCAGATTCACCTTGGGTAAGTGAATTAAATTCTTTGAGCCTTTGTTTCCATGTCTGTAAATTCAGGATAATACCTAACTAGCTCAGAGGGTTATTAACTGAGCTACTGTATGAAAAATGTCTAGCATGGTACAGAACCAAAATTGTGTAAATTTTAGAAGTTTGAGTTGGTTCAACCTAAGTCTAAATTCTGTCACATACTAACTAAAAGACCTTCAACCAGCTATTTAAAGTGTCTCAGTCCCAATTCCTGCCCTGTTAAATATGGATAACAATGCTTACACCACAGCAAGTATGTAAAGACAGCATTAACTAATGCATGTGCTGTGCTGTTCAATGTCTTCTCAGAGGAAAGGCCTTTCTCAACACCCATATGCAGCCCCTCCCCCCCATATTAAGTCACCATTTTGTACATGGCACTTAGCATCTGAAATTATCTAGTTTTTTATTATCCACAGGGGGATGAAACTTGTTTGTTTCATTTATCTCATTGTCCTCAGTGACTATAGGTGTCTGACCTATAGAAAATACTTAATACATATTTGTAAATGAATTTATATGGAAGATATTCTCAGTAGTGGTAGCCTTTATTGTATTGTATTATCTTAACTCTGGCTTGTCTTGAATTTTTTTATTTTTTAGTTATAGATAGACATAATACTTGTAATATATAATTATATTACATATTTTATAATTATTAATACTCTATACTTATGTGGAAGGTTATCTATAAGGTAATAATGGGGGAAAGTCACAGAACAACACATACGGTGTGATCCTGATTTCTGTAATATGGTTGTAAGGTACATACATATATATCTATATATATAAGAATGTATGTATTTTCATATTCATATAGATAACATCAGTGCAGTATCACCAAATGTAGAGATGGGGGAGGGAAGACCTTTTACCTTTTACTTCTATATTTCTGCATTGAACCTTGAATATTTTGCAATATTCTTTAGTTCTTTATTCAATATTCATTCATTCTTTCTTTTTTTTTTTTTTTTGGTACTAGGATAGAACCAGGGGTGCTTAACTACTGAGCCACATCCCCAGCTCATTTTATATTTATTTTGAGACAGGTTCTCACTAAGTTGCTTAGGACCTCACTAAGTTGCTGAGGCTGGCTTTGAACTTGTGATCCTCCTGCCTCATCCTCCCGAGTTGCTAGGATTGCTGGTGTGTTCCACCATGCCCAGCTAGCATTTCTATTTCTGTAAGCAAAATTAAAAATGAATATTTTTTTCTGAAAGGGGGAAAATAATAATGTGAATGTGTCCAGGAAAAGAGAAAGCACCATAAAGTGTACTCTAAAAATGTAAAACAGTATTAAAATCTAAAGGATAAAATACAGTTATGTGCTTCATAATGACTTTTCATTAAATAATGGATGGCATACATGATGGTGGTCCCATAAAATTATAGCATCCAGTGATGCTGTAGCCCTTTTTGCGTAAATACATGGTATGATGCTTAGAGAAAAACAAAATCACCTAAGAATGCACTGCCAAGAATATACCCCTGTCATTAAGCAACAAATAACTGTACTGATAATTGTAGAACTTTAGGAATTCTGGGGTAGAGATAGATGAAACTACAGAATCTCAGGGTTAGATAGATTTATAGAGTCCAATCCTGATGAAATAGAATTGTGTATATACAGTCTTTACTCATCCACCAGCTCAACAAAATGACAGTGTATGAAATATAGAGATGAACTCTAAAGAAGAACATATCTGTAAGGTAAAGACCCAAGAAATCACCAGCTGTCTTCAGGAATGCTGTGCACACCAATACCTACCTTCAAGGCCTCACTCATTCCTCGGCCAATCACAAGGGCCTGTACACCTTTCTCGGCAACTTCCTTTACATCTGCAGGCTGCACACCAGGAGAATGCTGGATATGGAAAGAAAATGCAGAAAGGTACCAATCTTTCTTCACAGTAGGTATTTTTAAGAGATTTGTTCATTCAAGAAATGTTTACTAGCCAGGCATAGTGGCACATGCTTGTAATCTCAGCAACTCAGAAGTCTAAGGTAGGAGGCTTGCAAGTTTGAGAATAACCTGGGCACTTAGTAAGACCCTTTCTCAACATAAAATTTAAAAAAGGTCTGGGGATTTAGCTTAGCTAGCTGTAGAGCACTAGCCTCACATGTGCAAGGCCCTAGGTTCAATCCCCAGTAATATAAAAAACAAACAAAAAGAACCATTTACTGAGGTTTATTCTCTGCTAAGCATAGTTTAGGTTCCTGGGAGTAACAGAGAAGATACAGTGCTATTCGTAAGGAGCTCCAGGTTTAATGAAAAATGAAGAAGAGTAAAAAGAAATTTCAATAGTTTTACAAGCACTATAAGGAAGTGAATTTAGGGTATTGAGAGACATAGAACATTTAATTCAGACCTGGGAGACTGGCATTAAAGAATAGGTGATCATGGAAAATATTCCAGAGGAGGTGACTTTTAAGATAAGACCTAGAGGGGTTGAGGCTCTATAGCTCAGTGACAGAGCACTTGCCTAGCACGTGTGAGGCGCTGGATTCAATCCTCAGCACACATAAAAATAAATAAATAAAATAAGGTCTTGTGTCCATCTACAACTAAAAAATATATATTAAAATAAAACTTAGGAAAAAAGATAAGACCTAGAATACAAGCAAATTATTCAAGTTAGGGGCTGAGCTGTGACTCAGTGGCAGAGCACTTGCCTAGCACATGTGAGGCACTGGGTTCAATCCTCAGCACCACATACAAAAATAAGTAAATAAAATAAAGGCATGCTGTCCCTCTACAACTACAAATTTTAAAAAAAAATTATTCAAGTTAAAGGAAATCAGGAAAACAAGGCATCCCAAGTACAGATAATCACACGTACAAAGGCTCAGAGCAAGGAAAAAAACTAAGGAACCTCAGGTAATTCCATGACTCAAATGTAGCATTTTAGGTATGGTAGAAGAAAGCATCATAAACCATGTTAGAATTTGGGCTTTAGAAAAAATTTATAACAACCTCCACATTTTGCTTTTTCCGAGCGCCTTCCCCACTGAAGTCCAGGAAATTTCTGTTTATCCTTTAAAACCTATTACTCTAGAAGGTTTTCCCAGTTTTTAACAAAGATGAATCTGGCATTAAATAATAATAGTTTCTTTTGAGAGAGAGTGTGTATGTGTGGTGGGTGTGTGGGTGGTGCTGGGGATTGAACCCAGGGCCTTGCACATGGTAGTCAAGCACTCTACGACTGAGCTACATATCCACCCTGCTTTGTTTTATTTTCAGACAGGGTCTAAGTTGCAGAGGCTGGCCCAGAACTTGGATCCTCCTGCCTTATCCTTCTGAATAACTAAGATTAAAGGCAGGCCCCATATAACCAGGAGCAATGTAATTTTTTTTTTCCAGGACTGAGGACCGAACCCAGGGGTACTCTACTACTGTGCTACATCCCCAGTCCTTTCTTATTTTTTTATTTTGAAAGAGGGTCTCACTAAATTTCCCAGGCTGGTCTCAAACTTAGGATCCTTCTGCCTTAGCCTCTTGAGTAGCTGGGGTCCCAAGCATATACCACCATGCCCAGCTCAATAAAAACTTTTTAAAAAATAAGTAGGTATGTAACTCAATCATAGAGTGCTTGCCTAGTACGCATAGGATCTAAGTTGAATAATCAGTACTAAAAAAAAAAAAAAAAGTAAATGTAGTTCATCATAGAATAAAGAAGAAAATGCATAGAATTCCAGGTGTAGCTCAGTGGTAAGGCAAGTCCATCACTCCAGAGAAAAAGATTTAAAAAAAAAAAAGGGAAAAACACATAATCATCTCAATTTATTCAGAAAAAGCATTTGTCAAAGTTCATCATCTATTTATGATCTATTTTACAAACTCCCAGCAAATTGAAGAAGGATACTTTTCTCCTTATGATAAAGGCCTACAAAGAAAAAAAACATAGCTAAACATCCAATATAGTATTGAAGTATTAAACCTTTTCCCTGAATATTGGACACAATTAGAATTTATTTCCTTATTATCTCTTGAACCTGTTCATTCTCCTCCCTATCCACTATCATTATCCTGTTCTAAGCTGTGTTGTTTAGATTATTGTAGTAAGTTTCAACTTTGATTTATATAAAACTACTCTAGCCCTTTTCAATTATCCATTATTTAAACTATAGTGGGAGTGATCTTTTCAAAACACAAATCCATTCATGTCACCCTGAGCTTAAATAGCATTTGGTAGCCTCTTCTTACCTTCAAAATAAATGCTAAACTCCTTAATTGGCCTGTAAATTCCTAGCTCTCTAGCCTCACCATATATGTACTTTCTTTATTCTCTGTATTTTAATCACTCTGGCCTTTCTATCAGTTCTTCAATCATAGCATATTCTCCCTCACCACTGTTTTAAAAAAAGAAAAGGCAGGGGCTGAGTTTGTGGCTCAGCAGTAGAGCACTTGCCTAGCATGTGCGAGACATTGGGTTTGATCCTCAGCACCATATAAGAATAAATAAAAATAAAGGTATCATAGGTATCGTGTCCAACTACAACTTTATATATATATATGAAAAGGCAGCTGGGCATGGTGGTGCACACCTGTAATCCCAATGGTTTGGGAGGCTGAGGCAGGAGAATCACAAGTTGTAAGCAAGCCTCAGCAACTTAGCAAGGCCCTGAACAATTTAGCAAGATCCTGTCTCAAAAAAAAAAAAAAAAAAAAATATATATATATATATATATACAGACCAAGAGAAAATATTTGCACATCATATTTCCAGCAAAGTATTCAGAAATATATTAAGAACTCTAAAAACACAACAATATAACAATAAGAAAAAATAATCCACCATACCAATCCATAGACAGGTATAATCCCAGTGACCCAGGAGGCTGAGGTAGGAGGATCACAAATTCAAGGCTAATCTCAGCAACTTAATGAGACTCTGTCTTTAAAAAAAACAGGGTTGGAATGTTGTTGAGTGGTTAAGTGCCTAGGTACCAACCCCTACATTAAGCAGAAAAAAAAAATGAAACCAGTTTTTTTTAATATTATTTTTTAGTTGTAGTTGGACATAATACCTTTATTTTATTTATTTATTTTATTTGATACTGAGGATCAAACCCAGGGCCTTACATGTGCTAGGCAAGTGCTCTACTGCTGAGCCACAATGACAGCACCTGAAGAAACCAGTTTTTTAAAATTCTTATTTGTTATATATGACAATAGAATGTATTACAATTCATATTACACATATAGAGCACAATTTTCATACCTCTGGTTGCATACAAAGTATATTCACACCATTTGTGTCTTCACACATGTACTTAAGGTAATGATGTCCATCACATTCCACCATCTTTTTCACCCCATGCTCCTTCCCTTTCCCTCCCATCCTTTTGCCCTATCTAGAGTTCATCTAATCTTCCCATTCCACCCTCCAAATTACCACTATGAATCAGCCTCCTTGTATCAGAGAAATCATTGGGCATTTGGTTTTTTGGGATTGGCTAATTTCACATAGCATTATAAGGAAACCATTTTTTAAAATGGGCAAAGTATTTGAATACTTTTCCAAAGAAGAAATATGGGTGGCTAGCACATACGTGAATCACATAATGTTATTAATGACTGTGGAAATGCATATTAAAAACACAGATGCTGGAAAGAATATAGAAAGTGGATTTCTCATTTGTTGCTGGGGGTATTATAGAATATAGAGCTACTCTGGAAAACAGTTTGGTAGTTTCTTGTAAATTTAAATATATATTTATCATGCAACTCAGCAATCACACCTCCTGGTATTTATCCTAGAGAAAAGAAAACTCATATTCACATAGAAACTTGAACATAAATGTTCATAACAGCTTTTATTCATAGTAGCTTAAAATTGGAAATAACTCAAATGTTCATCAACTGGTGAGTGGGTAAAGAGATTGGGTATTCAAATAATAGAATATTACTCATCAATAAAAGTAATAATCTAGTGCTATTCATGGCAACATGAATGAATGTACAAACTATGCCAAGCAAAACAAGCAAGTCTTGAAAAGTTGCAATACGGTACATACTTACTACATTAGTATGACAACCCATTTTTTTTTCATACCAGAGATAAAAAAAGAACCCAGGGGGTCCTCTGCTCAACCACTGAGCCACATTCCCAGCCCTTTTAATCTTATATTTTGAGACAGGGTCTCACTTAGTTGCTTAGGACCTTGCTAAGTTGCTGAGGCTGGCTTGGAATTTTCGATCCTCCTGCCTCAGCCTCCCAAGCAGCTGGGATTACAGGTGTGCTCCACCATACCCAGCTACAAGCAAATTTTAAGGTCTATATTAGATATTGGTATTTCATTTTCCAATTTTGATTATTGCATTATGATTATGTAAGAGAATTTCTTTGTTTTTTTGTTTTTTGTTTTTTTTTTAGGAAATACACATAGGATTTAAGAGAAAGGGGGAATAACATCTTCAAAATACTCAAAAAGTTCAGACAAAAATTATTTATAATTTTTTATAAGGACTGGGATTATAGCTCAGTGATAGAGTGCTTGCTTGCCTAGCTTGTGTGAGGCACTGGGTTTGATCCTCAGCACCACATAAAAATAAATAAATAAAATAAAAGTATTGTGTCCATTTACAACTAAAAAAATATCAAAAAAAGAAAACATGATAAAGTTTAATTTTTGGATCTGGATAAAAAATATATGAGAATTCTTTATACTATTCTTGTAAATTTTGTAAGTCTGAAATTATTTAAATATTTATAAAGTATATTTTAAAGTGTAGTAGTGCTAGGCATGGTGCCAGCCTGTAATCCCAGCACCTCAGGAGGCTGAGCAGGAGGATCAAGGCCAGCCTAAGCAACTTAGCAAGACCCTGTCTCAAAATTAAAAAATAATAAAAAGGGCTGGGGG